TTTTATTGCAGCACAAACACGCAAACTCACTAATTTTTGAGGAGCACTCGGACAGATACCGATTACCGACTGCCATACTTCACTTCACTCCAAGATCTACTCGCCAGATCTAGTACTCGCCAGATCTAGCCCCAAGCAACTTCTTTTCGTTCCCTCATCTAAAAATTGCGCTCGAAGAACAGATATTTCTATCAAATGCAGAGGCAATCAATCACCTTCGTGAACAATTATTTTGCAGAGAATAACGCCGAGTACTATTTACATGGGTTAAAGAGATGGGATCATCACTAGGACAAGTGTGTATGCTTAAAAAGAGACTATGTTGAAAAATAAAAAAAAATAAAAAAATGTTTTATATCTTTGTTGGGTCAGAAACTTTTCAGACCGCTATTCTGTCAAAGCAGACTTTTCTGTCAAAGGTATTTTCCAGGTTTGTTGGCCGTGGTCTGCAGGTTTTATGTCTGGCGTTTGAAAAACACTTTATTGCGAGATTTTCACTAAATAGTATATAAGCTGACTTGTGGCTCTTGCCCAAAACTGTATGTTGGCCAAACATTTCCCAAAGAATTAGAGAGCATAGAAGTAGTTTTATAAATAGAAAGACCAATTCCAAATTTGCAAACCACCTTTTAGCAGAAAGACACGAGTTCAATCATGAATACGTGTTACATTTAGAAAAGTTTGAAACTCAATCTTCTAGAATGTTTATAAATCAATAGTGAATATTTTTCTGAAAGTTACACAGTGTTCAGAAAAGACCGTAAATTAGATGTTGTATCTCGAGAAAGTGGCGGTGGTGTTTTACTAGCTATAAAAAACAGTATTCAGGGTGAAATAGTAAATGTAGATTTATTTGAAAATAATTTTCCCATTATTGATTTGCTTATATGTAGATGCTTTTTAAAACACACTACATTTTATGTGTGTGTTATTTATATTTCATCATCTGTAAGCACATAGACTTACGAACTATTTTGTGAATCATTGGAACAACTAGAAATTTTGCAGACCAAAAATGTAGCTTTGATTGGTGACTTCAATGCTCCTAACTTTGTATGTGTCTCCGCTCTTGATAACAAGTCCCGCGCTCTCTACAATATGATCAACTTCTTGAATATGAACCAATGGAATAATATCTTGAATGACTCGAATAGGCTCTTGGACCTGATCATTTCCAATATGAAATGTGAGGTGACAAGAGACAGAGCTCCAATGGTTCTTGAAGATATGCCTCATCATCCAGCTTTAATTATTGATTTTAATAATTTTTTGATTAGCGAAACTAGTTTCAACTCAAATGATAACCCAAACCAAAAAACTTATAATTTGAAACAAACCAATTATCCTGCATTATATAATGCTCTACTTTCCACGAACTGGTCGTTCCTTCGGAATTGTGATGATGTGAATTTAGCTGTTGGTAATTTCTGTGATGTCTTATATAATATTATTGATTCACATGTTCCTATTTTCAAAATGTTCAAACATAAATATCCCAAATGGTATACATCCGAGATTATTTGCAATATCAAAAAGAAAGCTAAACTACGCGAGAAGTACAAGAAAACCTGTAATATGAAGTACAATTATGAATTCAAGATCCTTAGACTTGTCATCAAAAACCAAATCAAAGCTGCATATGATATTTATTTGAATTCTATACAAGAATCTGTAGTATCTAATCCTCAATCACTGTGGTCATACGTACATTCCAAGAATAGAACCTCCCGTATTCCAGGTAGGATGAAATATGATGGCTTCACTATTGATTCTCCAGATGAAATTGTAAATAGTTTTGCAAATTTTTTTCACAGTATATATTCACACTCTGCAGTTAATGAAAATACTTTGCATTCATGCTTATCAAATTCAAATTGTTTTTATAATAATATAAACTTTGAAAACATCAGCGAACAGGAAATCTTGATTGCGGAACGTAAACTAAAAAATAAGTTCACTTCTGGTCCTGATAAGATACCGTCCTTTTTTGTAAAAGATTGCATCGGTGTAATGGTCTATTCCTTACTGACACTTTTCAATCTTGCAGTTAAAAATAATAATTTTCCTGAATTATGGAAGATATCACGAGTTTGTCCCGTTTTTAAGTCTGGAGATCCATCTGATATTCGGAATTATCGCCCTATCTCAATCCTATCGAACTTTGCAAAACTTCTCGAAATTGTCATCTACAATCGCGTACATTCCTCAGTTCGTAATATCATATCTCCGCAACAACATGGATTTATGTCAAACAGATTCACCATAACAAATTTAATTGTATTGACCCAAAATATTAGTGATGTCTTAGATAATCGTGGTCAAGTTGATGTGATATATACTGATTTTGCTAAAGCATTTGATCGACTTGATCACATGATCCTTCTACAAAAACTCCACCAATTTGATTTCCATAATTCAGCAGTACTTTTCATTAAATCCTACTTACTTCAACGCGAACAGTTTGTATCTTATAACGGCTATGATTCTTTTTATTACAATCCGTCATCTGGAGTACCTCAGGAGTCGAATCTCGGACTACTTTTGTTCTCATTATCTATTAATGACCTCAGTAATTATGTCCATTGTAATAAGTTATTTTTTGCAGATGATTTGAAAATATATTTACCTGCCGAAACTGTTGAATACTGTAATAAATTACAACGACAGTTAGAAAATATACAGACTTGGTGTGAAGTAAACAAACTATGTCTCAATGCATCCAAATGTAAAGTAGTGTCTTATAGTAGAAAAATGTCGGTCATCGAGTACAATTATCGAGTAGATACCATTTCAATGTCACGAAGTAACTCAATTAAACATCTTGGTGTATATTTTGATCAAAATTTGTCTTTTTCCAACCATATTAGATCGAAAGTAAATGAAGCTTTGAGAGTTTATGGCTTCATAGTTCGCAATTGTAGATCTTTTTCAAACATATCTGCTCTATTGACTCTTTATGTAGCCTACGTAAGGTCAAAATTAGAATATGGCTCTGTTCTATGGTCTCCATTCTACAATTGCTATAATACATTAATTGAAAAAGTTCAACGTCGTTTCCTAAAGTTTATTTACTTCAAATCTTATGGTATCTATCCTGATAGAGGTATTCCATATATAACATTCAATATTGAAAGACTTGAATTACGCAGAAAACTTCCTGGAATAATTTTTCTGTATAAATTACTGCACAACAATGTGGATGCTATGGAGGTGTTATCTTTTATAACTTTCTGTGTGCCTCATTTCAGAACTAAAATGATCAATTAAAATAAAATAACTCCCTGGTACTAAATATTTTTTTAAATGTGGAAACGGGGAAATAAGCTCAGGTAATTTAATTCATTACAAACTCGGTTTGCCATTGCACGGCGAAACACGGCTTTTTTGTAAAAGTGTTTTTGGATACGTTAGTTATGGATTTTTATCAAGTATCGGCCAATTCCATCATATGTCTGACATTACATTTACGACAAGTGCTCTGGATGTCCTTACAGCAGACATTTTTTTGTGTCTTTCTCTGCTTTTATACCATTGGTGGTGAGCGTGGTTTCGTTCCTATTGGTTGAACTGAATGACTTGATTTGTATGCAATTTCGAACAGATAACCATATTTTATTTTATGTTGATTTTCTCTTCCTTTCAATTGAAAATGTCTCTATATTGTTTCAGAAAGTAATTCTGAGTTTTGTCAAGAATTTATGTTTCATTGAACCAGATAATGTAGGTAGGTGCCTCCTTTCAGTGCGTAATTGGCTACAGTTGACTTGTTGGTTTGACTGAGGCGACAATTTCTCTTATGTTCAAAGAGCCAAAAGGGATCTAGCATATCCCCGTTGTTGATTAAGGCTCTTTGCGGTCCTTAGCTGACCTTAGACATTTCTGATTGTTTTTGTTGTCCTGAATTTAAGTTTCTCGTTGTGTTTATCCAGAATGGAATACAAAAACACGGGAGATTTCAATTGGATTGAAGAGGGAATTACCATAAACTAAATCTGACTACCTGTTTTAAATGGGGAATGTTCCTCCTGACGAAAATCAAGTATTTTTCATAAAAGAACTCTAAAACAACGCATTTTAAACTTATCATTTCAACATTTTTCTTTAAATAATTATTTAAATACTTAAAAAAGAAGAATGAGATAACATTTAAAGGGATTCGTTTCAATTTCACCATTTGGCAACATCGGTTATAGCTAATAAAGGACAATGAATCTGTTACCTGTATGAGACAAACAAAGACGACATATTTCAGAGCCGTGCTGTTCTGTTTACTTATGTTCCGAGTTCCGAGACATTCTGTGGCATATGACATTTTGTGCACCTAACCTATCTTCCTCTATATAAATAAATAACAAAACAACTGTTGTTTGTGTGGCTTGTGGAGGTGGTATTGAACTATAATTTATATTTTGCCTTAATTGTTGATTTATAAAGATAATTTTCCTTTTTTAAAGTAGAATATCTAGGTACATATAAATTATTTCAACTTGATATAGGCGCTGTTGCCAATATGTGAATTAGAAACAAATCCTTTTAAAAATTAAAACCCAACATTATAAACATCAATTTGAATACTTTTCAAAGTGAATTTGAAAAACTCGTGAATTAAACTCAACTTTATTTTGTACAAACTTACATTTGCTGTAATAACCCAAATTGAGGAACATTCCCCATTGCACACAAATCAAATCGTTTAATCCAACCAATAGAAATCAAAGCATTCCGACCGTTGATAGTATAAAACCGGACACCACAGCAGACACCAATAATGTAGTGTCCGCTGTGGGGACAACCAGAGCACTTCATTCGTTACCTCATCACCATTGATAATGTCTACCGCAGTCATAAAAGAAAAGTTGGGTATGAAAACCAAAAATTATAATTCTGCTCTGCCAGTTTTCTGATTAGATTCTTATCAATTATTCTCATATGTACATAATTAGGAAATCACGGTACTGAATAATTTGTTCGTTAAAAATTTCATGCTATTAATTTTTCAGGTGGTCAGCTATCAAGCTGGAGAAAGAGTTTCGTAGTCTGTCCCTAACACCCACAGCATGTCCGATGTTCGAAATTTTATCAAAACGTCTCCATCAGCTGCAGAAGGGTTTGCAAAGTAAATTATTTACATTCGTCTGGCGTTCAATTGCAAAACAACTAGACACATATTTGTTTGATGATTTGGTGCTTGACAATAGGTTCAGCGAAGGAGGTGCTTTACAATTCAAATTTGACATCACCAGGAATCTAATTCCTCTGTTTTCCCAGTTCAGTGAGAGACCACATAATTACTTCACACAGTAAGTCCTTCAGTAAGAGACAGTGTACATTAAGAAGTGTTTCTGATATTAATATGGAGAGATAGGCTATAGATGAAATGAAGGCAACCTTTGTTGTTTTTTTATAATATGAAGCAAAAATTCTAAAATAAACAGCAAAAGAATATCTGCAAAAACCTTAAGATTCCTACATAAAGTGTGTTAGAGCATGAGAAACTATTACCATATACAGGGTATTCCATATTCGATGGACTATTAGACGTATCTAGAGAACAACAAAAGATAAGAGTTTCAAATTTTGGTTACCGATGAAAATGGTTGTGATCTATCGTTTGAAAATATTTTCATTACCGCAATGTTGCCACATCTACATGTAACAGACATCAACTTGGAAATTTCAAATGGAACATTCTATATATTATATCATTTTTGAATTCTGCATCAAAATCCAAATCACTTTTGTTGAGCATGTTCTATACTTATCTCTCATCGTTTTCAAAATATTAATTATTTTGTAACTTTTTTTTGGCGAAAAAAAGTTACAGAGTGTCTGAAAAAATACATCTCAATTTGTATCTTTGATAAACGACCATAACTAATTTTTTTTCAAATGGAACACCCTGTATATTATTCAATTTTTGAATTTAGCCAACCAATGTGAACAACTTTGATCAACTATGTCCTATACCTATCTCTAAGATGAGATATGAACTATTTTAAAAAAAATTGCTCCTACACAAGCATAATATTTCCAATAAAATAAAAAATCAAGTGCATAATACACAAGCATAATATTTCCAATAAAATCAAAAATCAAATGCATAATACACATTCTCAAAATTTCAGCGTAGGTCTCGGGCCTTGGAAAATTTACTCCTTCAATACATATGGTGAAACTTTTTCTATTTCCAATCATCTACTCGAATATCAAAAGAGTTTTAAACATTAATTTTTAATTTCACAACCAAATTTCGGCAAGGATAACGGTGTGTCATGATGTGAGTCTGATTTAAAAAACAAAATAATAGATTTGACAATAACTTGTTCAAAACTAATTAATACACTTTATTGTATGATTTTCACTATAAAGGGTTTTCCAAAAACCGCGACACGCGTTTCGCTATACTTCCTCAAGCGTAAACTGTCCGACTGTCGTATTGAAGTAGAGAGTCCGGTGACTGGTGATATGGAAAATTAAATGAACATATTAGGATATTTTTATGCCTATCCTCATGCATCAGTATCTAGTGCTGCGGTTGATTTGGGAATATCTCGAATTTCTATATGGAGAATTTTACAAAAACATAATATGCACGATTATAAATTAATTAGGCTGCAAGCTTTGCATAGAGATGATTCACCAAAACGGGTAAAATTATGCGAAAAGGCACTAACATGGACAAACGAAGATCCAAACTTTTTGAAAAAAAATTTATGGACTGATGAATCACAATTTTCACGTGAGGGAATATTAATTTGTCGAAATAATCACTTCTGAGCAACGGGGATTCCAACAAAAATTCAGTTTTAATGTTTTTTGTATGCTCATGGATGATAAAGTTTCTATTTGCATATACGAAGAAAAGTTGAAATCCGAAAAATATTTTGATCACCGGATCTGACTCCCCTAGATTTTCACCTCTAGGGAAAAATCAAAGAAAAGGCATATAGAATACCTATCAATACGGAACAGGAACTGAAAGATCGGGTTAGATGTGTCTTCGAGGAAATCAAGGCGTCGGAAATCCGCAGAGCCACGATGACTGATCACGTAATAACATCAATCCATCAATGTTTACACAATTGTCAACTAGCTTTGCAATTGTCAAATAATTGCAAAGCTAGTTTCACAATATTATCTCTTGTTTTCTAGTGTAGAATTATTTTTGTTATCAATTTAATTTTGAAAAGCGTTCGTTCTTGTGTCGAAATAGTAATGTTTGTCATACACCCACTATGAAAATTCAATCATGTATTTCATTAAACCTTTCTGAACTAATTTAAAGTCATTATTCATTATTCAATATCTTCAATAATACATTTTTCCCCGAATTTTGTATTTGAAATTATAGAAGAATTCATATCTCATAAACGGTCAGAGATAGCTATAGAACATAGTTGATAAAAGTTGTTCACATTAGTTGACTGAATTAGAAAATTTAATAATATACAGGGTGTTCCATTTGAAAAAATTTAGTTATGGTCGTTTATCGAAGATACAAATTGAGACGAATTTTTAAGACACTCTGTATAAAATAAGATTTGAAATCCATTCTGAAATAAGAACCACCATATCTTATCTCAATATTGCCAGAAGTTGAGTTCGATGTATCAGGTAATTCATGCGATATTAAAAATACCATGTTTTCGCCAAAAAAATTATAAAATAATATTTTAAAAACGATGAGAGATAAGTATAGAACATATTCAACAAAAGTAATTTGGATTTTGATGCAGAATTCAAAAATTATATAATATGTAGGGTGTTCCATTTGAAATTTCCAAGTTGATGTATGTTACATGTAGATGTGGCAACATTGCGGTGACGAAAATATTTTCGAAGGATAGATCACAACCATTTACATTGGTAACCAAAATTTAAAACTCTCATCTTTTTTTGTTTTCTAGATACATCCAATAGGCCATCGAATATGAAATACCCTGTATACCTTACCTAATATACAAATTCAATTGAAAACAATTTAAGCATAAATAGAAAACATATGTAGTACAATCTATAATTTATATTTAATGGAATCATTTGAAAAACAAAGATTTCATTGTGCTTTTATGATTTGTTCTAGGGGTGTATAAATTATCCCGGTTTCTGGTGAAGTGGGTATGTACATCTTTATGGAGAATCAAGTAGTTTTGGAAATAGGTTGATGCTAAATCATTCAGCATTTTGTAAACAAAAATAATAGAAGAAAGATAGATTCTTTGTGAGACAAAACCATTTCAACATATTAAGCATATTAACAATAGGTGAATGTCTATTTGTTTTTAAAATGATTCTCAGCAGGATTAAACCTATGAGATGCAGTAGATAAAAGTATCACAAATAACATTTTGAAATAGTTTTCATTTTATTCAACACTGGGAACATTATTCAAACATAGAAAACATGTTCGGATATAATGAAAAACCTTTTTTTATGCTGTTTCAATCCCTATTAGCTAGCATTACCAACATTCCAGGGTTTGTAGAACTATTTGAAATGGTCATTTTGTGATATGTCAAATCCGAATCTCATCAAAACGATCAGATATTAGCAAATAGAAATTCAAAAAGGCGAAAATTTCAAATATTTTTATTCTGCCAAATTCTTACCATTAGAGATATTGTGAATATTTGCAAATAATGAGAAAACTGTATCTTTAAAATTGACATTTTGAATGCATCCCAGGGATGAATTTTTTTTATCAAAAAAAATTTCGAAATGGAACAATTGATTTTTCATTTTTTCGCCCCCAAAATGGCGCCAAAAAAGTATGTTATACTGGTATACACTGGTAATTGGCTGACCGATAATTTTGTAATTAATAAAATATGTGATGGAATCGGCCGATACTTGATGAAAATCCTTCACACGTATTCAAGAAACACTTTATTATACACAGTTTACTTTGCAAAAGCGCAACACGTGTGTCGTGTTTCTTCAAGCGTTTCTATACTCAGTATAGACATGCCTTTGCTCAGTATAGACATGCCGTTACTCAGTATAGAATCGTTGTGTAGTGAAAATCTCACAATAATCCTTTTTTATATCGAAGCAGTTATGGAGTTTAGTTAACTAGTTATGTAGTTTGGTTAATGATACATTGTTCTCGCTATTTACAAACATTCACAATATTTCGTAAAAAATTAATTTTTGCACAGTTTTTGTAAGTAAAGAAGACTGAACTCTCAAATTTTGTTAACGGGCCAAAAGAGCATTAAAAACCCGTTTTTTTTTTTAGATCCGAGAATGTTTTTCCATGTTCTCAGTGAACGAACTATCAAATGTTCTCAGGGTTGAAAATGGAAATTATTTTAACATGATATTTGTAATGCTTTCATCTACCGAACACCACAGGTTAAATCCTGCTATTATTGAAGGTAAAATCAAATATTTCATGGATAAGTCGCCGCCTGAGATATATGGATGAAACAGCAAAAAATATTGGATTTGAAAAACAAAAATTCAGTCTATTATATCATGGTACATGGTACAATGTATATTTTACTACATTAGGGTGAAAATCCGAAATTAGTGAAACATTTGTTGGCCAAATATTTTGGATTCGTGTTTTGTATTGTTTTGACTCAGGGCAGAACAGCCTCTCAACAGAACATGAATACATCCTCCTAAAAACTTCTTTAATATTGAAAAAAACATCGAGATCTTCATAGATTTTTTCTTCAAATTTCAGGATCATCGAATCATGCAATCTATTAAATCTTAGTAAAGGTAGTGCATTATTGTTAAGAGAAACCATTTTGGCTTTGGAAGGAGCAACTGGAGTAGAAGATACTAGAGGTAAAGCTCTAAAGGAGATAGGAGTTAGCTATTTCACTCCAAAAATGGCTGTGAGGATATTGAACCAAAGAACTGATATCACCATAAATAGGGTTTCGATAGATTAATAGTTGAATTAATTCCAGAGATTATGAAAATGTCTTTCTTCAATCATTCCATCAGTTGTGAGATTACGATAATGAATTATTGCCATACAAATTCTACATAATATACGTTTCTTAGGTAGTGCCAATTATTTCAGAGTGCTACTCCTTATACTTTGAAAGTTGGAGTGAAAATATTCATTTTCACTTTAATTATCAAATACCCCACATCTCCAACTAACTAAGCAATCAAGCTCTAAAATTACTTTAATTCTGAGGGAAATGGGAACACTTTTGCAACTACATTACATTGTAATATCTTAAATGGGCTACATTTTATATTCTCAGTCATAGTCTGCCTATTGAAAATAAGATCAGTTGTAATATGAATAATTTTCATGGTGAATTGTAACCAAGGACTGATGGCATTTTTAGTCAATAAAATGAGATGTTTTTATAAATACATGTCATAATTTATTTCAAAAGCATTTTTATACATATTAAGAGTATTCAGGAATGTGATGAAGAATATATTACTTTGTGCCTTACTATAAACAATGTTTCTTGAATTTTCCCCTTTCCTTATATCTATAACGTTACTGATGTAGATCTTGTGTAGAAATTTACCTCTAACAACATTGTACAATAGACATATTGACAAACTATCGAATTATAATGAAATTCCAAAGTAACCTTAGTTTATAAAGCTCCAAATTGAAAGTGAATAAGAATATCATTGTGGTATGAAAGAGTGATCCGTGTCTCTCTTGAGACACATGAAACATGAGATGAATAGTGTAACTTTGCTCATCCTTAGTATTTAACTTGTGTTACCAAATGAATATTTAATTTAGCGCAATACTTGTGAGGGGTTCAATTAATCTATCAGAGTATGCTTTGTTGTCCAAGATACAATCTTATTGGTAATCTCTTTCCAATACTGATATTCTGGTATGGAGTGACTTCAATATCGTTTGTTATAATGGAAAAAACAGAGATTTAACAGAATTATGTAACATTTTTTCCTGTTGTGGACTGAATCACTCTATTAATTAATTAAGGCAGTATCAACTATGGATCAAATATTCTCCAATATATCAGAGAAATATACAACTTATATAGTGGATATTGACATCTCAGACTATCATTCAATCTTCTTTCAATTCCAGTGCCAAAAATCTTATAATCACAGTGAGCATAAACCAAGAAGATCATTTAATGAAAATGCCATTGGAAACTTTTGTCGAGACATGAAAAACGAGAAATGGAATGACATTCCTTATTCTCGAGATGTTGACGCTTCTTATGCTCACTTCTAGGAAATATTCTTATATCATTTCGAAATCAACTCTCTGAAAAAGTCTATGAATTATAAAAAAATAATAACTGGGTCTCAGAGAGATTGATGAGGTCCAGTCGAAACCTCAAAGATTTACATAGGCTGACATCTAGTAATCCATCTCTGAAAGAATTCTTTAAACTTTCCAAACAAAAACAAGAAAAACTTTGTATTTCAACTAAAAAACAATTTTATCAAAATCAAATTTCCAGCAAAAACAGCATGTCAGATAACAAACACATTAAGTAATAAAGACACAAGCACATATAAAGAAAAAATAGGAACAATTTCGTTGAGGACAAAAAAAATGTTGTGGAACTTTTCTATTTCTACTTTCAGTCTATACCCCATAATATTGTATCCAATATACCTTTGAGTAACTCTGATTTCAGTAAATATTTGAACACTACAGTAACACCGGTGAAATTACTATTTCTTATTTCCTTTTCAGATGCAGTTATATAATATATTTCATACGAAATTAAAAAATAGATTATCATCAGGAAATGACGAGGTAGCCATGTTCATTCTGAAAAAATTCTTGGCATTTCTCATTTTCACGAAAATAGTTTGTTAATTTATCCTTAACAACAGGACCATTCCCAGATGTGCTCAAAACCGGCAAAGTAGTACCAATTCTTAAAAAAGGTAATTCATGTGAAGAATTATAGGCCCATTACAGTACCTTCTAGTTTCTTGAAGATTTTTGAATACTCATTCCTTGACCGATTACTATCATTCTGCAAAAAGAATCGAATATTATCTCAAAATCAACATGGATTCCTAACGAAAAGATCAACAATAACAGCTGTACACTCTCATTATGAAAAAAGTTATTGATTTGATGGACTGGGGTGAGTGTTCAGTTGGGATCTTTTGTGATCTCAGCAGGGCATTCGACTGTGTCGATCTAACCATTCTAATGAATAAGTTCCAGAAATATGGAATAAGAGGTATCACACACCAGTGGCTGTGTAGTTTCTTCAGTTCGAAAGACCAATACGTTATTCTTGATGACATAAATTCCTTGATACAGGAGGTCACCATTGGAGTTACCCAACGGTCAGTTTTAGGACCGATTTTGTTCATTTTATATATGAATGATTTGGACAAATCACCAGTTCAGTCCTGTTTTACTATTTAAGCTGGTGACACTTCAATCATTATTTCAGATAAATCTGATGAGCTAATCACTTAAATTTGAACCTCGAGAAAACAAATTCACTTCGATTCCACAATCGTCAGAAACACTGTGAGTCAAGTTCTTAGGTCTCCGCATGTATGAGTGTTTTACATGGAGTAATCACTGTCAGATGCTGCAGTCCAAACTGAATAGCTACTCATATCAATTCAGAAATCTCAAACTAGTTTTGAACATTCATCAAGTGTTTTCATTGCCCAAAAGCGAATTTTTCGTATTTTAGCTGTATATTTTAGATATATAATTGTCATGGTTGAATGGTTGTCAAATGGTCATTTATTATTGTACATCAGAATATTCAAAAGTATATCAAACAAAATAGCACATGTATTTCATCAGATCGGACTTTACGTAGCCCGTTCAGGGCTACACCAACACCATCACCAGGACAACACCATCAAGATCTTACTTGTTGTGATGGATACTGATCTCTACGAACAGAAGATCGAAGAGGTGCTTTGAAAAAAAAAATACACGAAGATCGTAAGAGATGCTACTGCATCAATTGAAAGGAAGGTGTACCAGACTTTGAAAAAACACCATGTCTATTTTTCGGAAACCGCTAACACCGCATCACAGCCCCCTCACTTGTATGGACTACCCAAAATCCACAAAAAGGATGTTCCGCTCAGACCGATAATTAGCTCCAGAGATTCAGCCTCTCAGAACTTGTCCAGATTTTTATTACCAGTAATTGAACCATTGCAAGGTAAAACATCATCTTTTGTGAAAAATTCAAGGCATTTCGTTGAACTTCTAGAGGAAATCGAAGTCAAAGAGCAGGACAAACTAATCAGTTTCGACGTGGAAAGCCTCTACACCAACGTTCCTGTCGAAGAAGCACTTCAAATCATACAGAAGAAGCTATCCGAAGATAGGGACCTGAAAGATAGAACAAACTTACCGATACAAGTAATCATGGAATTACTAGCATGCTGTGTACGAAACTGCTATTTCCAACTGAAGGACGAATTCTTTACGCAAGATGAGGGACTGCCAATGGGATCGCCACTTTCACCGGTTATAGCCAATATATATATAGAGTGGTTTGAAACTCTGGCTATTGAAGAAGCCCTGAGTCTGGTTGAGATAAGTAGACGACACCTGCATAATATGAAACCATGGGAAAGCAGAACTAGACACTTTCCTGAAGCACATCAACAACGTAAGACCTTTCATCACTTTCACAATGGAGAAGGAAGTCCACAACGAATTGCCTTTCTTAGACGCATTAGTAAAGAGGACCGACACTAAATGGGAAACATCTGTATATCGAAAACCCACTCACACAGGACAGTATCTGAACCAGAAATCCAACCACCATCAATCGACTAAGAGATGAATCATCAAGGCTCTATTAGACCGTGCTTTCGGGCTCTTTAATACAAAAGAAGGTCTCGAAAAGGAACTAGGCATCATCAAAAATGACCTTCAACGGAATTGTTACTCCAGAGTAATGGTAGAACAGGCTTTAGCTAGAAGACAGCAAGAGCCTCACAAGGAAGAGAAGCCGCCACAACCAGTACTTGTACTTCCCTACATCAGAGGATTATCGGAAAGAATAAGAAGGATTAGGTCCAAGTATAACATCAGGACCTGCTTCAGACCTGGGAACACTATCCCTATTAGCCTCACAAAAACCAGGCCACCAAACGTGGACTGCGATTCCAAGAATTGCATTTACCGAATACCCTGCGACTGCGGATAATCATACATCGGTGAAACTAAGAGCCATTGAAAGTTCGCATTGCTGAGCACAAGAAACACACACAGCGAGGAGAAACCAGCAAATCCGGAATAGCAGAGCATGTTTGGACTCACCAACATGAAGCGGGCTCAAGCTGAAATCATCCACAAAGAGGAACACTGGTTTAGAGGAAACCGCGTATATGTTGTCTAACAACGCATTTAGTCAAGCTAGCGTAGAGATACGTAACATATGGAAACCTCCAATCAAGCGAAAAACGACCAACTCCCGCCAAACGGTCATTTCCTGCTTAAATCAATGAAGCTGAGAGAGGGAAGAGGGGATAGGTGAAAGCACTCTAATGACCTATAAATAGTCAGATCTCGAAGGAAAAAATCCAGTTATCACCCAAAAACGATTTTAGATACTAACAATCGAAACGTCGTGACGTTACTTGGTTTTGAATCTTTTAATTTTAATTTTTCATTTTTTGTTAATACTATTTTTTAATTTTCAGCTTTTATTAATATTTCAATTTTTTCATTTTTTTTTTGGTTGTTGCTTGTATGTTATTTCTTTGTAATTTCAGTCTTTTATTTTAATAAAATTGTTATTTTCGGTTTATCCAAATCCGGATTCCAAATCAATTTATATTATATTAGACAATGGAAGTCCGAACTGATGAAATACACCACGTAACATTGTCAACCACCTTCAAACAAAATAGCACATATTTTGAAAAAACGCCCATATATTTCGTGTAACTGAGCATTTGTAAAGAAAAAGAACAAATTCGCTCAGCATGTACTCATATTCATTGTATAATTGAAAAATAACTGTCATTATAGTCTTAACAGTATATAGAACCCCCTCGACAAAATTGTGATTTGTGGAGATTTCAATCTAAAGAAAAACACTTTTTCCACACCAGAACAAAAACTGAATTTTGCATCTACCTTAGGTATGTTTATATATTGCTTCCTCAGGTAATGAGGATCATCAGATGAGATTCATGAAACGAATTCCTATCATGCTTGTTTGGTCCTACTGTCAATACCTCTGATTTAAAAGCGAAAGAAATCAGGAATCAAACTTTTCAAGTAACAATATTTTTTATTTTATAACCTCAACCGTGTCACAGTCGTCTTTTTTTATAAACAGAAAAATTATTTAAACATACTTATAAAAATTAACTAAAAGCAACAACATTCCCCCCTCGTGATGAAATCACTGCATTTGACGTATTCTTCAATACAATTTCGTTTAGAATTTGTACCATTGATCAATTTACATATTTCCGTAACTGGCCTTTTATAGGTTCTCGATTTTGTTTTTTATTTCGATTAAATTTAATCAATTGATCAACATTATTACAGAATTACAACATAACTCTAATCTTAACATCTATTTCCCAAGTGGCCATATTTCTTTGTAATATGTTATTAATTACGAGTACCACATCGTCCTCTGATAAGTCGTCCCCCTTCTCATATCACTGCATTTGTTTTTCCAGTGAAGAAAAGAAAATTGAAACTTTCTATGTTTTTTACCACTTTTATTTATAACTAACGTTACTGCAGTTTCGTCCTGTAGTCCATAGAAAGTTTCAATTCTCTTTTTTTCATTATGATTTTCTACCACGTAGTAATTGCTACATCCATCAATTCATTTTTGAGTAAATATTCCTTTTGCCATCTTCTCCAAAATATATTGGTTAAGGCTTGATATACTCTTCACTGTTTTCTCATGTGCAGCTCCATTTGAACAGTGCATAAAAAATGATTTAGCTGAAGGCTTCAAAGGGTCATTTGAAATTTGTCATATTCTCCGCAATCAGAGTAATAAGCACTTCTTCAGGGTGTCTCTCTTTCAGTATTATGCTCAGAATATTTTTTACCGACTTCAATAGTTTTTCCCAGCTTCCTCCCATATGTGGAGATGCTGGTGGAAAACCCCAAAATTTCAGTTTCGTCCATGTCTTTGGCAGCTTATCTCAATTCTCTATTGGCAGAATGCATGTTCACACCATAATCCGAGTGAATTTATCTCGAACATACAAGTCGTTTTATGAATCTTCTGATCGCCATGATAGCAGAGTCTGTATTTAATAAATTTGCTATTTCTAGATGAATTGCTTGTACGCTCATACAGGTAAATAATAATACATACTGTTTTTCATGTTTCCTGCCAACTCTCACAGAAATTGGACCAAAGTAGTCTACCCCGGTGATAGTTAATGGCCTGACAAAACTTTGAAGTCGACACTCAGGTACTGTATCCGAGTTGTATTTTCCTTTTCTAGCAGAAGGTGCAAGAACTTCTGTATTTTAGGACAGCAACCCTGATTCTTGAAATCCAAAATTTCTGACGCAGGTCATTCATAATAATTTCCTGTCCCTGTTGTCCAAATTTTATGTGATAGCTTTCGATTAGAAGTTTTGTGAAACGGTGTTTTGGATGAAGAATCGCGATTTCCCAAATATTCGAGTAAAACTAGAAGTTCGAAAATTAAAATACGCGCGAAAATTTGAATTTTAGTAGGTATATTATGATTTCATAGTAACTATGGATTAGAATTTATCTATACAAATTGTATATATTTTACAAATTGGATTTATAAAATATCTGTTTTTCGTATAGTATACCTCTGATAAAAATGTAGTGAAATGTTGAAAAATTTCATATACGTGAAAAAATACAGAGTGTTCCATTTCAAAGAGTTGAATTATGTCTGGTTGAAAACGAATGAAACTATACTATGAGTGAGAGAATATTAAGATTTTTATCAAGGTTTAAGATCCTGTCCGATTCTCAACATGGTTTTTGCAAAGGCAAGTCCACTTAATCATCAGCTACTTGCAGATTCTTAAAAATCATATACGCTTCTTTAGATAGTGGTGAGCATGTTGCAGGAGTATTCTTCGATCTGTCACGTGCGTTCGATTGTTTAAATTTTAAATTCATCGAGAGCAAATTATATAATCTAGGATTTAGAGGGGATTTCCTAGAAGGGATCATTGACTTTCTTACAGATCGTAGGATGTTCGTCAAGATTAAAGATATGAAATCAGACTATCACGATATATGTTCTGGAGTTCCTCAAGGCTCTGTGTTAAGTCCGCTGATATTTCTGTTGTTTGTAAATGATCTGCCTACTTATTTCACCTGTAATGAATATACTCTCACTCTTTTCGCAGATGATACGTCTTTAGCTGTATCAGCAGAGAGTCAGGAGGAATTAAAATCAAAAACAGAGTAATTGATATCACTGTTCTTAAATTGGTGTGAAATGAACAATCTGATTGTGAACTTGACCAAAACAAAATATATCTATTTTAATTTAAAAAACTATCTGAAAAAGCAATCGCTTTCCTTACTAATCAATGGAATGGCACTGGCATGCACAAGCTCTACAAAATTCCTTGGCGTTCATGTAGACAACTGTTTGAAGTGTTCTGACCATATCACAGTTGTATGTAAAAAACCATATTATGCAATCTCAAGAATTAAGAATTGTATGCCTTTACGCGCCATTTTAGATGTATATTACAGTCTGGTCTATAGCCATCTAAGTTTTAATGTGATCCTATGGGGAAACAGTGTTGACGAATATAGGGTTTTCATTGCTTAAAAAAAAGTTATTAGGAAATTACTAGGCATCCCTTGGAGGAAATCATGCAAGACATTTTTCATTAGTCATAAAATTTTAACCTTTCCCTGCATCTACATCTTTGAAATACTTTTATATGTTCGCGAATGTATAACAGACTGTACTAAGAACTCATTCTATCATAGCTACCCAACTCGATATGCAGAGGCATTCCTAAACATAAAGCTATAAAATTCGAACATTCTCCCAAATATATGGGAATAAAATTATTCAATCGGTTACCAGACCATTTCAAACAGATGAACACTGTAGCATTTAAAAAATCAGTTAAAACATTGCTTCTTTCTAAGGCCTACTATAGTATTGGCGAATTTCTCTCGGACCCTGCGGTTCATGCGGCTTTGGCATGACATATTCAATTTTTATAGCTACAATTATTTTGATTTTTGTAATTCTGACTTTTATTGTATACATTTTTATTGTATTATTTTTATCTACGGATCTACAATTTTATCGTTTGATGTGATTTTTATGTGCTCAATACTGACCTATCCTATACGTTTTTCAACGTCTTTAAGGATACATAAATATTATTATTATTATCATTATGAAACTATATATTGTTTTCGAAAGATCAGATTCTCGAAATTATCATAGTGATGTTGACTAACTATTCCTCAAAAAACCCACTTGATTGCTGTAAACATGCGGGTGGTGAATTAAAAAAATATTGTCTGCAAAATAGATTTTTCTGGAATAACTTGGCAATGCCGCAATGGAAATTCGATAAAAAAATCCTACCTAAAAAAATATGAAATCAAATGACGTATTCATATACTGGGTGTTCCATTAAAAAAATGTAACTTTGGTTGGCCACGCTCGGCTGAATCATTCAGTATGCGAGAAAATAATTTTTAAAGATAGTATTTATCGATATGACTGCGAAAAGAAATTGAGCCGAGGGAATCGTGTTGATTCACCCTGTATATGACAATATTGGAAATGTTCCAAATAATATTCTGATGTTTATTTGTGTGTTGAATAAATTTTATATTTCATATCCAAGTAATATTTCATTGAGAGATTTTCGCAATAAATATTTCACAGAGAGATGAATGAAATACAAACTACATTTATAACATTTATTTTTTTAAACCTACTACAATATAATAATACACAGTAAGTGCTTCGTTCATAAATATTCCTTTTTCGAGATTTTGATAGACTTTGTATCGATGAAGTTGCCTACATTTATTTACTTTCAATTACTTAAAGTTAACTACTATCATATTATAATCTAATAGAGGCTACCTTAGGGAATAGCGGTTGTCATCAAGATTTATTTTGGGGAAAAAGTACTATAATTCTCAACTTCCTAATGTATCTTGTTTTTCACGGCACCTACAGTAGACAACATGTTGAATCTGAAAAACAAATCAGTTTAAGTTGAAAGGTAGAACTGGAATGCCGTTTATAGCAAATCGAGTTTTCGTTTTAATTTTTTCAATAACAGTTTTTTTTTAAATTCAATTTCCAGAAATATGAGATAGATAATATAAATATGTATTTATAAAATAAATATGTATATATAAGTACTATCCATATGGCAATATACTATTCGATCCGCCCAAGACCCTGGTGTTTTACTATGATTATAAAATATCGTTTATGAAAAACATTTCATAAACATTTCTACAGCATCATTCTACCCCATATCCATAATGATGTGAGAGTGAAAAACTAAACATTTTTCACTGAAAATAAATTCAAATATGTTAATCATTCAATAGAAATTATATTCAGTTTTCTAAAATTTTGGTAAAAACCACCTTTCCTACAAAAACACTGCCTCTTGAAGCACGTTTCGATGTCCAAGTTAGCATCATCAGGAGATGATAACGACTCCTACCTATCAAACTATGTAAATTATTTGGAAATTCTGGTGAATTCAATCTTGGTTGGGTATTTAATTGAATGAAATAAAAGCGGGCTAAAAATTAGGACTTCTCAAGGCTTATAAATTAAATCTAGGAATACATAAAAAATTATTTGGGAATGAACGTTTTTGATCTTCTACTTCTCCATCTTGATTCAAAAATATGTGGGAATCTTCCAAAGAAAGGAAGGAAGCGATCAATTTCAAAAAAGTAATTTCATACAAAGATGTGTAGATCCATGCAATGAAGTAACCTTCAGACACAAACTGGAAGAAAATAATATATTTAAAATGATTTTGAGTATCGCTTCAAGGATATTTTCTGGAAAAAATGTTCTTTCTGCACTTTTTGGAAGTGTAAATAGACCTGTTTGGGAGTTTCTACTTCACTCGAAACTTTGTCAACCTAATCAAAGTACCTAAAAGAAACATTTTTCAGAGAAACACTATAATAAATTGATGGATGTAACCGTTACTACGTGGTAGGAAGTCATAATGAAAAAAAGAGATTCGAAACTTTCTATGTTTTTACCACTTTTATTTGTAACTAACGTTAATGCAGTTTCGTCCTATAAGGACATTTTCAAACTTATACATTAAACACTATAATTCTCATCGGAACTGAATTAAATAGTAACTAATATCTGTAAGAAGGATATATTTTTGTTTTGATGTTATAGTGAAATCTTTCGTTTAATTTTTATATAATTTGTATTTCTGAAGAAATTTTAAAAAACGCCAAATGCAAAATAAGAAGTAGTTAACATTTGGATGGTAATAAAAATGTTTATGAAACTTAAGCTGTGTCTCACTATGAAAAAACATAAAATAAAAGGAAAAATGATATATTTTCAATGCACAGTCCTTACCTTGGTTTGCTTTTAGTCGACGAATTCAAAAATATTTGCCCTAGCAAATAAATGCCCAATATAACTTGTGCTGCATTTACCCACGAGTTAATGTCCAAGTTAGGTTTCAGATATTCGAAGCGTTCTCGAGAATTTTGACGATCAACAGATTTTCCTTCAAGCTCTGTGGATACCAATGAAAATTGCTTTTCTGGTAAATGTCTCACTGAATATGAATTTGAAACGCGGGCTTGTGGTATAACATTTGTAGTTGTTTCAAGACGTCTTGCTTCCAATGCGGGAGAATTGTATCTTATTGAAACTGTTCTTTTCTCTGAATTTCCGAATCTGTTTCTCTGATTTCGTCTCTCTGTTTCTCTAGATATCTCTTCTCTGAAATGGTTTTCTTTCTTGGAATTCAGTCGGAAATCACGCCGAGTGTTCCTCGTCCTCGGCTCATTTCTTATATTACTGGAAGAGACTCTGTCAAGTTGATTTCTAACTGTGTCTCTCCGGTACTCGTGAGGTAACCTATTTGTTAAGGTACTTAGTCTTTGTTCAAAGTCTGGCATGACTCTGTCAAGTTGATTTCTAGCTGTGTCTCTCCGGTACTCGTGAGGTAACCTACTTGTTAAGGTATTTAGTCTTTGTTCTAAGTCTGGCATGTGCCGGTTCCTATTCGATCTAAACAGTTCGTTTCTGACTTGTTGATTTGACCTATCCTTACTCAAAACAATTCGGTTTTCCTTCCTTTCGAAGTTTCTCGCGTTGTCAACCGAAAACCTAACAGTAGAATCAGTTTTTTTGTCATAATTATTTGTTCGGGCATTTCGTTGAATCTGTCTAGTGGAGTCACTTCTAGAAGAACATACCCTAAATCTTCTGTATACAGAAGGAATTTCAGTAATTTCCTTATTTGGCACAGTTATTCTTTGGTAGTCGAACGAGGCAGATCGAGCATTTGTTCTATCAACACCAAATTGCCTACGGTTTTCAAACTCTCTTTTTGTACTTTGAGAATTCGTTCTCCTATCCATAGGAACCTGCTTTCGATTCTCACGATTGAGTTCAATTTTATTAACAAATCTTCTATTATCAAAAAGGTTGTGATACCTGGAGCTTTCTGCACTTTGGTGTTTATAATTTGAGAAGCGTTGCCTGTTGTTAACGCTTACTCTGTTGTCGTTTCTTTGACTAAAAGCATTTCTCACCTCTCTCCGATCAGCAATAGAGAATTGGGTAGAACGCCGTTCGGTTGATTCATTTCGTTCTAGAGTTCCTGTTCTGAAACTTCGCCTGTCGTACAAATTTTCATAAACCCTGTCCTTTTCGTCGATTTTGTGGGGCCCGTTTCGAATATTTAGATTTCTTTCAATCTGTTGTCTTCTGTCGGGTAAGTTGCGACTTTCACGAATGTTATATCTTCTAGAGGTAACACGATGGTCGTTTTTTATGAAGCCATACGAAGTCGTCGTTGAAAAGATTAAAAGTAGTATAACGGACTTACTGGTAATTATTTTTTCAAACTGTATCATGTTGGATAGAAACAAAAATCTTTCGTAAAATTTGATGGCTTGTATGGTTGATTCGGTTTATAAAGAGAATGTTACTTGATAATACTTCGCGACTGTCTGAAGTTCATCCTTCGGGAACTTCGTATTTATACCTTCCTTCAGATTTCAATTTCACGGCTGGTCAGGCTTCAGCTCGTTTAAAATCAATTTGTCCCAAAGTGTGTGTGGTTTGATTCAATTTTGAGGATGAGATATAGGTAAGATTTACTGCAGTTGATGTACACTTCGTTACACTATTGAAAATGTGGGCGAGATTTTTGGAAAAAAAATGTTCATAAATTTTATAATTAGTTTTTGTACATCATTTGATGAAAAACAAATGAATTGGCATTCAAAATGGATTGAGTAATAGTGTTGTCAATGTTCAGTTCAGGAACTGATCGCGATTTGAGTGTTGAAATTCGATATTGGTGCAGTTATAATTACTTAAAATTTTTGTTATCTGTTTAAAATGTGGCGTCCTTGGACAAGTACTAATAGTAATTACGGGTGTGATAACAACGCAGAATTTTTCCAGTGTAGTGATTCCAATAGCAATGGTGAACAATGCGAAAAAGATATACTAGGTAGTGAATTAGATTCGGATGCATTTGAATATTGAAACATAGAGAGTATGTCTCAATGTATATAAGAATCTCCTTACATCTCAAGTTTGGTTTCGAGGGAAACAAACTAGTACAAGCAACTGTACGTAAAATAGTCAAAAACAAACCTTATGAACGTAAGATGCGATGTTATACGGGATTACCAAAACCTTTGGATGTTCATCTAATAAAATCATTGAAAAAAAATATAGGACTATTGAGGACTGCAATAATGACTATCGTAAGAACATGAAAGCTAATATTTTTGAGAAATGGTTTGAAAACACATTGATCCCAAATTTGGATGCGAATAGTGTAATAGTTCTTAACAATGCTTCCTATCATTCGTGACAGCTCATCAAAGTACCAAACAAAAATTCGAGGAAAGATGAAATACAAAGTTTTTCAATGGATATCAATTCGTATTTTGAAGATTACTATACCAAAAACCAACTACTTCAAGTTTTACAGACAAAAACATTTGAAAATATGTATTCCCTTGAGTGTATTGCTGAAACGTATGGACACACCATACCGAGACTTCCACCCTATTTTTTGTTTTCAATCCCATCGAGTTGATTTGGGGAAATCATCAGGCGTAAAAATAATTTTCCAAAATTTGATAATAAGGTAATAGAGCTAATTAAAGAAGAAGAAGACTGGCAGAAAAAGAATAAAAACGTTATTTTAGTTAAAAAAGACTATATGCAGATTGGACCCTTCCATATTAATGGTGGAATTCAATTCATTACTGATTTAAATGACGACAGTGATAGTGAAACAGAGAATATGGAAGAGGAATTATCAGAAGCTTTCGAAGAAAGTTAGTGAAGTGTTTTTAAAGCGATCGATTGTTTATATATGTGAGTAAGTAGTATTCTGAAGTATTTTCGATTGTCACCCTGTTATTTGAATCCCTACTTTCCCACTAACCTATATAAATGAAAAGACAAATTAACTTGATTTTAATTTCGACCCTTTCTTTAGGTGCTTTCAATAGTCTTCATAATAATCATTCATAATGTTGAATCTGAAACAGGTCACGATGTCGTATTAGCTTTGTAGAGCGCGTCGTGTAGTATTCGGAGGAGATTTTAAGACAAATTTGCAGTTAGTAATAAATACAATAAAAATAATAATATGTGTGTATGTGTTTTCTAATGGAACATAATATATTATAGGATAGTTTTGAAATTCTGAGATGATTTTGACTCATTTTCATGAAACATTTACTATATCAAAAATCAACCGTTTACGAGATGTTATCATTCTAGGCCTTCAGCATTTGAGAAAGACTATAACTGAAGATTTGTAAAGAACTGTTTGGCTGCAACCTGAAGTGCTTACATTACTATCAACATGTATCAAACCTATATTATTTTTCATGGTTTATTGACAGCAATCTGTAAATTATTTCTGACGTTTCATTTAAAACTGCGGTGTGTCAGAGACATTATTTTTAACCGATAATTAGACATGCCTTTCGGAAAATTGGCAGGTTGTTACATTATGCCAGTTTCTCCGAGAATGAGTTCATCAACAAAATAATTGAAAATGTATTTGATACGTACACATTATTCTATGATTTTCACTCAAAGATCAACAAAGCCGTTATTTAAAGAAATGTTTACTTTTCATTACTTTTTTGCACTCGGAAATGAATATTGAGATAAAATTTGTACAACGTAAAAGAAAATCGTAACGTAAAAGCGTTTTAGTACGATTTCGTACTGTCACTGTCGATTCTCAGCTAATCTTGACGGAGTTTTAGGGACAGCAAAAAACACAAGAGAACTGTTTGGAATATTTGTAGTAGACAACTCCATACATACTGTGTACATACTGTGGACAGTTATCGGCAACCTTCTATCCATTCTGGGATTAGTTTCCCCCGATACAAAAAATGACTGGCCTAATAAGTTTGCCACAATGCTTGAAGTCCTTCACAGAGGAAAACTTTCTTTAGAGACAAATTAAATGTTGTAATCGACTTTCCACTCGATAGTATAGATGTAATTAATTTTGCAACAGACGATCCGGTCACTTCTCTGAGAGAAAGGTTTTTCTATGACTAAATATAGCACTTTTGTAGTTATTCAGATTCGTACACAATTACTTTTTTCTTTTTTTTTCAACTTATTTATAGGCAGTTATAAAAGGCTAACTAGATATTAATACAGCCTCGACGGTAAGCGTGAAAATACATTTAGGAAAGATGAATATACATTTTATTATTTGAAGAAGAAAGTAGGTAATCAAATCATGAAATCAGGAAACAACAAAAATTTATTGGCGCTCCGGGGCGACTTCATTGATTCCAGTGTCGCATTTGCCTGCAGCACCACAACATCTGAAGATCTTGATCTGCCAATGTCCTCTCTTTTATAAAACAAAATGTTGGGTGTCTCCAGAGGCTCCAATAAATACAAGACATCGTTAGAACACTTAGTGACACGTCAAACTTGAACCAGTCCGTTTCGTATTTGACCAATGCGTAATAATGACCAAATTCAACGCCAGAACCAACAGTGAACAATGACTGCATGAAGATTATAATAGTGATCTGCTAGATTGAAGTGTTCATCTATTTCAAACCTTTGTAAGAGTTTGGTGCTTTCGTCAGCGGTTGAGTCATGTTTGAAGATCATCAGTGTTATTATTAAATTGACTGGTGCCTCAGATATACTTGTTTTCTTATAATAGTCAGTTAGTTTGGCGCATGTTTGGCAATACAGTTGATCATCACACGTTAAAAATTCTATTTTCAGATGATTATCAATCATATTAGGAAACGGTAGTTGAAGTTCCAGAAAATCGCATACGTCACAAAGTAAACAAGTGAGGATTTTTCCAGCAAAATATTTAAAAACACAAGACGAGATAGACTGTACGGAATCATTGAATCTCCAGAGTGGCAGTATTGATTCTGCCTCTTTTTTGCTCACGAACAGTATTCAACAAGAACCCCAAGAATTCGGAGAAATCCTCTTGTTGTCCTAACGAGTAGGTATATCTAGTAGTCTTCAAAGACTTCAGGAAATTGGTTGGTGAATATCTATAATACAAATTGAACATTAAATGATATTTTTCATTTAGGAAAGTATAAAAAATCCATTAGTCGTATCAAAATAAGTACCTATGTATTTAACAATCAAAATCATGACTGACAAAAAAATATCTCTTGGGTATGATTTCAATATTTTTATTGCTTCTGTATTATTAACTTTCATGAGATAATTTCTAGATCTGAAATAATTATCATCTACTTAAAACGGTCTATCAAATAAGCGTCTAATTTTTTCACTCCACAGTGACTACAAAAAAACAGAGGACTATTTATTTTATAACCTATTCCTTCGAATAAACGAGGGCTGTGAATCCTTTTACGCCTCCACATTCACCAGTCGATTCAAACCCAATTTGTAATAAATGGGAAATGGATATCGGACGTCGCGCGAGTCGCATGTGTGAATCCGTAATTTAATAATAAACAGCCCTTATCAGCAGGCCACCATGCAGCTGCTCGCAAATTGCATGTTTCTTGGTACACTATTGAAATTATTCAGTAAGAAAACTGGGAAAGGGCGGTTTCAATAAATACTGGAGGGATTTTATTTTGCAAGCATATACAAAGTGTCTGTCTTTGACATCTTGCTTCTTATAAAACAATGTTTTCGATCTTTGATAAACAATAAATTTTAGCATTAACTCTCAGTGAAAAGTAGTACGAAATTGGAGATTGTGAATATCTATGATACAAATTGAACGTTAAATGATATTTTTCATTTAAAATGCATTTCGGTTAAAATTGTCAAATTACAAAAATTTCAAATCGCAATAATATATTGATTGAATATCTTCTAGCGAAAATGGGATCTCAATTGTGCATTATACAGGACGTTCCACCGAAAACTTCACCCCCCTGTAAGTCAGAAACAGACGTGTAATCGAAAATTTCAAAGAACGCGTCAATTATTATCTCTAGGGGGACTATAATTCTGATATGAAAATCATACCCGAAACTTCGCACCTTCTGCGGTCAGCAACTACCCCGCTTTTTTTTCAATGGCATGGGGGGTCGAGTGATACATCATTTGAAAGGTCTTTTGTCCGTCTATTACTTCTATAATGTTTTTCGAAATTGGTTTATTCGTTATTGAGAAATGAAATGTTGAACATTTTATTTAAGAAAAAACAGAAAATTCGCTGTCGCTCATTTTATTGAGGAAATCAACAAAAGTAATATTAATGGCAACACAATCAACGGATGAAGTGTTCAAAATGACCTCCATCTAGTTCTATACAATAATACAGTCTAATTTCGAAAGTGTCTTACATTATTGAAGATATCCGTAGTCAGAAATCGGCATTCCCGAACAATTCTCTATCGCAGGTCTTCTAGATTTGTAGAATGTATTTAATTAGTAGTAAACGTTTTGAAATGGATGACACTGTAAGTTTATTTCTGCACTGGTAGTTTTTATTGAATCTAGTTGTCGCAGAACAAAAAGTAGATAGTTGGTCACTATCACTTCTTCACGAATTATTATTCAGTCATATTTGTTCATTGTGTTCCAACATTGTTCATTCTACAGAAAAAAGAATAGAAATTGTTGCAACCCTTTATCGAAATAATGAATGGGCTAAAGCTGCTGCAAGAATTTATAATACGAAT